AAAGAAGAACTGAAGCCTCTTCTCGTCCTTCGATACGCGGGCTGCCCCAAGGCCACTCCGGGCCTTTCTAGGCCCTTCAAACAGCCGAGAAAACCCGACATTGTGACAGTCTACACTCAAACTTTCCACAAACACAACTGCACCCCTGGTTGAGAGCTACAACACTGATAAATGTGAAAGACCCACGAGCATTTCAACCACTGCAATATCTCTGCCTGCAGCTGCAACAATCAGTAACCGCCTGAAATATTCTCACACAGCTCTGGAAAGAAACAAAATCATTTTGTCCATCTGTCTGCCCACCTTGGCCTGTTATATCCCTTAGTAACTTAAGAATCTGTCACCTGCATTTCTGCCAAATTTGTCAGAGGACTATTTGCATGAGCCTTACAAAAACCACAGGCCAGATAGAGGACAGAAGCCTTGAGAAGCCAAGGACAACTGGGTAAATATCCTGAATCTCTCCCAGCTGCCGGCACAGCAAACAGAACACCTGACTCAGCTGGCTGCACAAATAAGGACAGGGTGGGTTGGATCCAGGCAGCTCCTGGGTGCAGCCCTGGGGAAGGAGAAGCTACCAGGCACTGAGGCCCCTGGGAGCCAGGCAGGAGCTGCTGGGGTAGGAAGTGGCAAACAACTCCTCAGGAAAGCAGGCTGCATGAATCCTCCCTGCTGAATGACTTTACACCAAGCACCGTTTCCTATGGAAACAAAGTTTATATAATCACACTTTTCACTTAGATCCACCAGCCAATTCCAAACGCATCTGAGAGGACAGTGGATGTTTTGAAGCCAGGGTTTATGTGTTTATTGGAAGCTGGCGGCCAGGGGTGCTGCAGGAAGGGCCACAGTGTTGGCTCAACAGCTGTCTGCTTGCCTTGGCCATGTGGGCAACCCAGGGGCAGGGAGCTGGGAATGCCACGTGGGCAGGGAGGGACTGGGAGCACTGAAACGGGGAATGGAGCAGGACAGGGGCAGGAGCCAAGGGCACTGATACAGAGGGTGCTGGAAACCCGGTCAGAAGACAGCCAGAACAACCCTCCCTTGTTCCCATCCCAGTTCCTGACATTCCCCCTGACCACTACAGGTCAATAAAACCAGCTGGAAATGCTTTAGGGAGCCTTGTTCCACTTGGAAATGAAGCCAAGGCAGTGAGAAAATTCTGCAGTTTCCCTTCTCCACTTGACATGTTTATTCATCTCCTACATAAGACTGACATTAAAAATTTAGTGAGGGTCCATGCACCCATCTGGATTTTAGCAGTGATGAGCCTGTCTCTGCTAAAATGGATGGTGCCAATCAGCCTCCCCCACTCCTGAGGAGAGGCAGTGGGATTCTGGGGTCAAAACCAAGCTGACAACTTTGTACCACGAAGCAAAATAAACTTTCTACCTCAAATGAAGGTAAATCTTGTAGTTACTATGTAGGTCAGACTTAAGGACACGACGGGTGCATGGAGGAATTTTCAAATTAAAACAAGACATGAGAACATCTGTTCTGTAATAAATACAAGGTGGGATCTACTCACAATGAATCCACTGCAAACCTAGAATCTACATTTTACAGTTTACTTTGTTTGCTCAGCCCCTAAAGCACTATGGATGCTGTAGGGCCTCAGAAGGTAAAACGTAACAGCTGCAGTGCTTATGCACATCTGTATCCAGAAAGGATACAAAGAGAGATATCCTTTAAGAAAGGTTAAACCCATGCCTTTGACAACCACAGCACTCTTCTATGGACACACACATTGTATTTTTCCACCCGTGGACAATGACCTTCTCCAAGCTGCGCCTGGCACTGGGTGAGAGCCCACGGTGCAGACGGCTGTTCCCAAGGGTTAGCAGATGGCCAGCGAGGCTTCACAGCTGTACGGGGCTCGGTCCCCAGCTCAAAGCGAGCATCCAGAAGAGGAACGAACCGCAGGAGCGCAGATACAAATCCCATCTGCCAGAGCCG